CCTTTAGCTTAGCGGTGGTGACGTGAAGTCATGTGACCGTGCTGTAGTTCCTTTATAGCCCAACATTAGCCACCTTTAGCTTAGCGGTGGTGACGTGAAGTCATGTGACCGTGCTGTAGTTCCTTTATAGCCCAACATTAGCTTTTTTACTTCTGGCAGTTGCTTTTATCCTGCTGAACAATATGTGCAAGTATCATAAATGTGTGTTTGCCACAGAGTTCATGTTTTGCAATATGGAAAAATCCCATTGCTTTTAGTCGAGGGTGCAATGCAAGACCTCATCACTCTATAGATGCTTTCCTCCAAATATGGCTGCACTGTCCCAGAACGATAAGCAGTTCTCATTCCCTATATTTTCTCTCAGTTTAGTAGAGCAAAGGACTCTGAAAGGTCTGTCTAGCATTATCAGGAGGACACAGTGTGGAGTGTGAAGGAGTGTTTTTCCTCACCTTGCTCCTTGATCTGCCGGATCTGCTTCACCGTCTCTTTGAGGATGGCACATTTGTCCGGCTTCACGTTGAAGTCGTCCATGTCATTGATGTTGGCGAAGATCAGCTCGGCCAGCTCCTCGATGTACTTGTTCTCCTGCTCCCGGTTCCTCTTCTCTGTGCTCCTTTTAGGGCTGCAGGGACACAAAGACATCGCCAACATTAACGGCAAAACATAACGTACATTAACACCAAACATTAACGTACACAGGAAGAAAAGGAGGATGATTATCTTGGTAGAAACTCCAGCCTCTTTTCTGCCATGCACAAGCTTGAAATGTCCCTTTTTTTATTGAGTTGGATTTTCCAGCATTAGCTAAAGGTATGATATTATTTGGCCCTAACATTGCTATGTTTATTAGACACATTTTTTAGATTAAATTAAATATACTGAGGCCGTTTTGTCCCAACAGCATGTCAACAGGGAGTTAAAACTATAATTGAATAAGTTAAAGTAGAATATTTGTATGTATGATATCACTTTTATATGATTATCTTTTGTTGATATCATATATTTTTTGCCATTGATGTCTTCCTCGTTGTGACACAAATTACGTTTTCCTGATGTTGAATAGGTCTGTGGACATCCCAAACGCTTTCTTATATTTTCTGAACTTCCCACTTTGCTTCAATTTTTTTTTCGTCCTGACTCTAACTTCCTAAAGTCAACGTCCTCAAAAAACCTGAGCTACAACCTCCCCAAGTCCTCATTAAAGCCTCGGTCTCTACAACCTTCATACTTCCTCATTCAACGACTTCAGATTGTATTTTTTTAAGTCTCGTCCTAAAAAATGCTGCCTCTGCATTTTTCTCCACCGAGCTGCGAGGGCATAGAATAATTTCATCCAACCTTTCTCTCTCTGCTTCTTTTTACTTTCCATTACAGAAGTATCTTATAGATAAAGCTTAATATGTCATATTGTATCGTCCTGGTCACATGACTTCACGTCACCACCACCGCTAAGCTAAAGGCGGCTAATGTTCAGCGTTATGACGTTTAGTCTTCCCATTTAGACGCGTGGTAGCAACCACCGTTTTTTTTGAAGAGGAGTAAAAACGTCTGTATTCACCAATGGAGTATTTACTAATGTATTTTTTTATTTGGTAGAACTCAACCACAGACCTTATTTCAGACATTTAACCAAAAATACGTTTAAAAAAGCTGTTGACTTCGATACAAGGATGCCCAAAAGGTGTAAAATGCTGACTCACTTCCTGGTTTAGGACTCGTTCTAATGAAGCTCACCCCTTCCCCCTTCCTTTCTTCCAAACCCAGGGTCAAGCTTAAACCACTACTCTTCAGACCGACCTCCATCAATCCCTTCATGCCTCCACTACCAGTGTCTAGAGACCCCAGGGGGCACGTCCCGAATGATATTCCAGCACAACGGGGTCTAATCGCCAAACACTATTAAATTCATCTGTGTATTCCCGGTAATAAATATATATCGTTGCATCAAAACTGTCCTGATTGAATTGTAATAAGCCATGTGTGGATGTTTGGGTGGTGTTTAAGTTTCTCACCTNGGCCCCACCAGGTCTGACGGACAGTCCTTCCTCTTCAGAGTCTCGCCCCCTGAGGAGGGCTCCGGGGTGTTTCCCCCCCCACTACTCATCTTCAGACAATATCAGCACCTGGAGACACACAAGAGGAGAGAAAGACAGTCAGAACAACACCTGATACAATAATAACGCTATTTACTTTCTGTACATGTGGACAGGGCCTCGAGCATGTTTGCAGACATCCATAATCACCCATTGTGTTTACATGTGTGTTTGTTTACATGTGTGTTTGTTTACAGAATGATTTCCCTGCCATTATCAGACTCAGGGACCTGCAATGTTTTGTTAACTGAGACAATTGTATTTATTGTTTTGGTTGCATGGTTTCATTTTGTTTACATTTTATTCATTTTTAAATAGTATTTCAATAAATTACATTTCTGTTCTGATGTCTGAATATTCTTAAGTATTTGTAGTTTATTGCTCTTTTAAAACTTGTATACATTTGATCTGATCATTATATCTGTGATACATTATGGTCTTAAAATGCCAATTATATTATTTCAGGGACAAATATAAGGTCCTACAAAACGTGCTATAATGAGAGGTCAAGCCAAAACGTATCTATACTAAACCACATTTACTTAGAAAGATAAAAAATATATATAAGTGTAAGGAATTCATCATTTAAATGACTAATGCTGTAAGTAAGGAAATTAATAGTTGCCTAAGTTGAAACAACGACCTGTAAAGTTATTTAAAAAATTGACGCTTTTTAGACATTTAAACAGTTATACAAAGACAGTAACAGTAACAGTAAAAGGCAGAATTACTTCCACAATACTTGGTTATTTATATGCTAATTTACGCTTAATTTCCACGATGTCAAAGATACACTAAGTGTCTTTTGTTGAACATACAAAGCGTCTGAATCGGCCTCTTCTTTGATGTGCAAAACAGTAAAGCCTACGCCATTATGGGATGCATTAATTCCACGCAGAACGAGTGCATCTGAGCATTTTGGAAATTAAAAAGCTCACCCCTGACACCCTTCTCTCCGCTTTATTAACAGACTATAATTAATGTGCTGCAAATGTACACAACGTGAGTGAAGAGGCCTCGTCAAAACCATGACTCATGGCAACAAAGCAGCATTGTAATGGCGTGTGGGAGGACCAGTGGGAATACAGGAGGTGTCAATAATGACTGCACTAAAAAGGCTAATTCATGTACAGTAAGCATTCACATGAACATGCGTGCCAATTAAGAAGAGAAGGAATAATGTGTATTATATTGTGTTATTCTAAAAGTGTTATTTAGGAATGGAAGAGGAACATTGGGAGGGAGAAGCTACACCATATGGTCATGCTGTTAGACCTTCGTCCAAACGCTGGTGATAAACTCGTCTTTCTGGCCCTGTCGTTTCATTTGATCACTTTCAGCGTCTCGTTCTTAGCTTTTACGAAAACAAGAAACCATGTTAGCCATAGTTTTTTGCCATTATCTGGTGAACTTTAAAGTGTATATACGCATGGCTTCCCTCTATTGTGGAGTTGTTCCCAATCGATGGTGGATTGTGAATTAAATGCATTGTTTTGAACTCTTTAAGATAATTGTTATGCCATTTTTGTATGATGGTGTTGCACTGACTCATCCATTTCCTTTATGTTCTTGGATACAAATGTAAAAACAAAATGTAAATTCAATTAGGTTAAGTATTCAAACTAGACTGAAATCAACACAAGCAGATATTTGCACTCAATACTATTCTCGTAGACTCTACTCAAAGTATTTACTCAAATCGTGCTGATTTTAAATCGACGATTTTTCTTCTCATATGACTTTAACTTGATGCCTTCCTCAACTTAGTTTGACACTAAATAAAGGTTGAGGGAATAAAGAGAGCAAACAGACTTTCTTATCTCTTAAAAAAATTACACATTTAAGACAAATCCTCACTTTTGTAGACAAACACACACTAATCTTATCTCTGATATGAGAAAAACAATATTATTTTTTAGACCCTCCAGAAAAACGCGATCCTGCGATCGCAGAATTTACCGCATAATCAGCAAAACGGCGCAGATTTTTAAAAGGCCGCATATTTATCAAAACGCCGCATAATCCCCGCATTTTTCCACACAAAGTTGAGAAGAAAAAAAAGTTGAACTCGTCTTAACGTGACGTCATCAGCTCGCGCATCACAGAATGTAAACAACACTGTATAGAGCTCATTTACCAACGAACATTTCTACTAAAGACCGGGCAAAAAGTGGGGGGGAACTATTCTGCACCCCGTGCAACTGTGTGTTGGAGCATAAGAGAAAATCGACCCACTTCATTCAAACATTCGAAAATGCTTTCTGCTGCTGCGGACAAGAAAGCCATTCAACTGACGTTCAGCGAGGGATCAACCTCCAAAACCCTTTCGAGGGCTACAAGAAACGAAGTGAGTAGCCTACAAGATTGAAGCTGGTCAGATAACGAACGAGTAAATGAAAACAGAATGAGGCGGAGAAGTGTGTGTGTGTGTGTGTGTGTGTGTGTGGGGGGTGGGGGGGGTGTGTGTGTAGAG